TTGCCAGACCCAGCTCTATTTCAACCCCATTTTAGTTCTAGACATTCGTTTTGCAGTCAAACGGACCTGAGTTCAGTGCCTATCCTTGTTAGCTGACTTTGAGTAAACTACTTGACCTTTATGAGTCAGTTTATATATCTGCAAAATGGGGACAACCTAGCTGGGGAGGGAGTTGAAAAAATATTAGAATGTATGAAAAGCATGTGGCATATGGTAGGCACTTAATTAACAGTTATTATTTGCAAAGATTTGTTTTATATAAATAAGGCAGATCATAAATGTAGTTTACCACCCATTTATTGTAATAACAGTATAATTCAAGACCTGTAACCAGAGACATTTATTGATTGGTTAGATCCACATTGTATACTTCAAAGAAAATTCAATATTAATTCTCCTTATATAGAATCAGAGAAGCCTTTTAAAGCTCCTTGTGCAAGATTTCTAAGGTTACTTTTGTCAGAAAGTTCTAAAAAAAGAAGCCTCATTTTGTTAACAATTAAAGAGAAGTTTTTCATGGAAGGAAGAAAAGAAGGAAGAAAGAAAGAAAAGGAAGGAGGAATCTTACAGGAATGTTTAAGGACCCCCAAATTAAAATGTGTAGCCCACGCCTGCTAATGACCTTAAACTCAGAGCCCTGCTTTGCTAGTGTCATTTCTTTTCAAAATGTAATGCTGTTCTGTGCAGTCCAGGCATTATTCTGAGGATGGGGGCATGGTAGGATTCAAAAGATTAATAAGACGCAAGTCCTTTACTTCAAGGTGCCTGCAATTTCATGCCCACAAACAGCACGAGGCATGATCTGGTGCTAAAGACAGATGATTAATTCTAAGAGGGTCTGGGAAAACTTACCGAAGGTGGGGAATGTTTATTTGAACATACAAATAGACAAACCATTGTAAAAAGATATTTTGGTGGCAACTGGGAAAATAAGATAGAATCCAGACATGAGATAATATTAAAGAGATATTGTTAAGTTTGGTAGGTATGATGGTATTATGGTTATATAATAAAAATAGCCCCCTTTTTAGAGCTTGTATATAGAAATATTTAAGGGAGAAATATCATGAGATTTACTTTTAAAATACAGCTAAAAAGCAAATGAAGCAAATTTAGTCAAATATTAATAATTATCCAATGTAGATGATAGGCATGTGGAGGTTTGTTAGTCAATTTTTATGTATGTTTGGAAATGTTTTTAAATTTTTTTTTCATTCACAAATTGTAGGTAGTTACAGATATAACGTGCCCATATAACCTTTAAAATCTGCTTATTCCTATCTGCAGCAATGAGAATTAAACCTAGAAAGCCATACTTTTTCCCCTTTTTGATAATGCCCAGGTGTATTGAGTTTTTGGGATATCAAGGTCAATATGTAGTTTGGTCTTTTCTTAGATTCAAGGAGTTACCGCACTGCATTTTGGGTGGCCCATTTACATTTTACAGTTAATCACATGTACATGTTAAGACAAATGCAGCAAATGTGAATTTTAAATTGTCTGCTCAATAAATACTGTTGCAGGCTGGGCGCGGTAGCTCACGCCTGTAATCCTAGCTCTCTGGGAGGCGGAGGCGGGCGGATTGTTTGAGCTCAGGAGTTCGAGACCAGCCTGAGCAAGAGCGAGACCCCACCTCTACTAAAATTAGAAAGAAATTAATCGGACAACTAAAAACATATAGAAAAAAATTAGCCTGGCATGGTGGCGCATGCCTGTAGTCCCAGCTCCCCGGGAGGCTGAGGCAGGAGGATCGCTTGAGCCCAGGAGTTTGAGGTTGCTGTGAGCTAGGCTGACGCCACGGCACTCACCCTAGCCAGGGCAACAGAGTGAGACTCTGTCTCAAAATAAATAAATAAATAAATAAATAAATACTGTTGCAAAAACAAGCACAGTTGACCCTTGAACAACTTGGGCGATAGAGGCACAAACTCTCTCCACCTCCCGCCCCCCTGCCTCCACCTCAGCTGTCAAAAATCCACGTATAACTTTTGACTCCCCCAAAACTTAACTGCTAATAGCCTGCTGTTGACAGCAAGCCTTATGGACAACATAACCAGTTAATTAACACATATTTTGTGCGTTTTATGTATTATATACTATAGGTCACAATAAAGTAAGCTAGAAAAAAATATTATTAAGGAAATAAGAAAGAGAAAATATATTTACTATTTATTAAGTGGAAGTGGATCATTACAAAGGTCTTATCTTTGTTGTCCTGATGTTGAGTAGGCTGAGGAGGAGGAGGAGGAGGAGGAGGAAGAGGAGGGATTGGATTGCTGCCCCAGGGCTGGCAGAGATGGGAGAAAATTCGTATGTACGTGGACCTCAAAGTTCAAACCTGTGTCGTTCAAGGGTTAACTGTATATGACTAAAGAACCTTCAGTTTTGCCATTTTTGTCTGAAATTGTTGGAGGCTAGACTACCTAGAAAATAATTTTCCATCATCCAGTTCTTAAGCAATAAGAATGCTTCCCACCCCAAAATGTAACGAATTCATAGCCTCACTACGGGTAACTAGAGGGTAGGGATGAAATCGGGGTCCTCCTTGCACCAAACCCTGCGTGCTGGCCAGGGCACCCCGAAGGCGTGGCCAGGCCAGTGCTGCCTGGATGGCCGGGATGAGAAGCAGACACTGCTCCCACCCCATCAAACTCTGAAGCCCCAAAGGAGACCACTCAAGACATTCACCAGCGTCATCTTCTGTGGCTGCTTCAATGCCCATAATCCCTTGGAGGAGCTTTCCCTACCACCCCCAATTGCAAGAAACTTCTAGAACCTTCTCTAACTATTGCCACCAAGCTTGCAGGGGCATAGAGACATGGCTGCTTGGTTCCTGCACCAAGAATTTAAACTTAATCAGCCCAGCTCAGGCTTTATAAGAAAAATAGAATATTCTATTATTGAATATTTGTGTTGACATTCTTTCTGCCCAACCCTGTTAGTGGACTTTGTTAATCCTGACATCCATCCTTCAGTGGCTACCTTGTTACCAGTTTTATAATATTGGATTTGCTAAATTTGGGGGTTTCTGGGAACGTTCTATATTGTTTGAGGTTGACTGTTAATGTGGCCCAAAAGGCAGCTCAATATATAGGGAAAACTGTTCACACTTCCCAGTATACCAGAGGAAAGATGTTTAGAAGCTAAAGTGTTTTAATTTTCTCACAGATCAAGAATATAGCTTTTATAAATTGCCCAGAGCCACCCTCAAATCATATTAAAACTGAATCAAAAATTTATTTTAACTTATTTATTTTAAATTTGCAAGCAAATGAGATCAAAGAAATTCTTGATCTGACTTTGCCATTTATTGAGCATTTCATTGAGAAGAGACACATGGTCTTCTTAGGAGGCTTCCCAAGTTCTGTTGGGAAATTATAGTCATCCTTCAATATCTTTGGAGAATTGATTGCTGGACCCCCCCATGGATACCAAAGTCTGCAGATACTCAAGTCCCTAATATAAAATGGTGGGCATAGTATTTGCAGATAACCTACATAATATCCTCCCATATACTTTAAAATCATCTCTAGATGACTTGTAATACCTAATACAATGTAAACACTATGTAAATAGATGTTACATTGTATGGCTTTTTATTTATATTATTTGTTTTTCGAATATTTTCAACCCAGGGTTGGTTGAATCCGCCAATGTGGAACCCACAGATAAGGACTGCCAACTGCAATTACAATGTAAAAAGACATTTGCAAATCACCTCAGCCTGAACAAAAGCACGGTTGCTAAGTTTCCAGCCTGACCACTAGAAATTTCTTCTAGGAAAGAACAAGGGCCCACAGCTAGACGTCAGAGTTAAGGGGTTCAGGTCAGGGTTTATCAGGTCTAGGATGACAAAGGCATAATGGCTGCCTTGTTTATAAGATTAATAACAAATAAAGATGAAGTCAGAATTCTAGTAAGTTTTCTAGGTATTTTCCTATTACTCAAAAGCAAGGGTCAGTTTGTTAGAATAACTGTAATGAAATTACATCTTATACCTACAAATTAGACAGATCTTTCCCTTAATTATTCCCAATAGCACTGGCTCTAGTCAGAAATTGGAAACTAACAAATGCTTAACGTTTGACTTCATGTATTTCATGCACTATGCTCTTATCATACCCTATACTTCTGAAGCACTTCTCACCACTGTCGTTAATTCACTGACAATTTGTCTGCTGTGTTCCCAGCTGCCCTCAGTGCCACATCTGTCTCATTCACTGGACGTGCCTGCATGGCACTTTGTGAGTGAACAATGGCACTGTATTTACCAGATATTGTTGGTGAGAACAAGGACACAACACCACTATGTAGTGTTCTACTGGTGATACATTACCTGAATCTGTCATGATAAAACATCAAACACAAATCCAGGAATGAATTGTTCTATAAAATAATTGGTCTGTACTCATCAAAAATGTCAGGGTCAAGACTGTTTCAAGTTAAAAAAAGGCTAACGAGACATGACAACCAAATTTATAGTTTTTCCCGTTACTGCATCCTGTAATGGCAAAAATTACTATACAGGACATTATTGGGACAATGCATGAAATTCGCTAGACAGCAAGTTAAAATATTGTATTAATGTTAAATTTCCTGAATCGGGTTAACTGCTCTGTGGTCATATAAGAAAATAACCTTTTTTGTAAGAAATATAATACAAGTACTAAAGAGGTAAAGGGGCATGATATATTATCTACTTTCAAATTGTTCAGAAAAATGTGTGGTATGTACGTGTATATGTGGGCCAGGGGAAGAGAGAGAAAGCAAATGTGGCAAAATGTTAAAAACTGGTGACTCTGGCTTAGAGTATATAAGAGTTCTTTGTACTGTTTTGGCAACTTTAAGTATGGAATTTCAAAGTTAAAAAGCAATCAACCAAAAACAGCTACCGTTACAACAAAATCAACACACACACATACTCTCTTCCCAAAGTACTTTAGCACAGTATTTTAATATACCTTTAGAAACAAGATGAGCCTTAGCTTATCAGGCACAAGTTTTTTTATTTACAGGAAATATACACACAAATTCTAAAAGTGCGAAGTTGCAAACTACAAGCAAATTCACATTTCAATTAATGTGAACAACTGAACCGTGTGTAAAGTCATTTTTAAATATCTTCTAAGTTAGAAAACCCTTTCTTAAATAAGTTTTCATATAAAGTCAAGTCCTTGAGACTTAAGGATGGTTTTACAGTCTTGAGTGATTTTAGAAAGTGCTCTTGTTTCACTGTGGTGGCTTCTAGTCCATTTTCTTGCAGAGCCAGCAAGGCAGCCTATAAGAGATAAGCAATAAGACACAATTACTTTGCTTCTTTTTTTTTATGATATATGGTAATACTTTAAATCTGAATGCAACATCTCAGTCTCACTTGATAGGATTCCAATATTCATGTCACTAAAAACATTAAGTTAAATACAGTGATTAAAAATCCACTTAGTAGACCATAATTTCTTCTATATTACATTCTAGCCTTAAATGAGAAAAAAGCAAAAGCCAGCTGCAGAATATATACATTATGAACACATATATTTTTAAGGATGAAAGAATATCTTCTTGACCGCAGAGTAGGAAAGTCTTTAGCCGACACTGATCACAAATGAAAAGATCAAATCATACTCTATTACCTAGCAATTCTCCTTGTAGTTATATACATATAACAGACATGAATACACACAGAGACTAACAGACACGTACAAGATTGTTCATAGCAGCATAATTCACGATAGGCAAAAAGTAGAAACACAAATGTTCAAAAATAAAAGAATGGATAAATACAGAGTATTCATATACTACCATGTTACAGAGCAATGGAAATGAACAAATTATGGCTACACATAAACCCGTGGATGAATTTCTTCTGCAGTTAAAGAAGCAGACAGAAAATAATAATATACCATATGGTTCCATTTATATAAAGTTGAAAAGCAGGTAAAACTAAAATCCAGTGTTAGAAGTCAGGACAGTGGGTCCCTTTTGGAAGGAGGCAGGGTACAGACGTTGGGAAAGGGTCCAAAGGAATATTCTGGGGTGTTGATAATGTTCTATTTCTTGATGTGAGTAGTGCTTGTGAAAGTGTGAACACTTTATGTTAATTCAAGATACAGTATCCTTGGCCGGGCATGGTGGCTCATGCCTGTAATCCTAGCACTCTGGGAGGCTGAGGCGGGAGGATTGCTTGAGGTTAGGAGTTGGAGACCAGCCTCAGCAAGAGCAAGACCCCATCTCTACTAAAAATAGAAAAAAAAATTAGCCAGGTGTGGTGACACATGCCTGTAGTCCCAGCTACTCAGGAGACTGAGGCAGGAGGACTGCCTGAGCCCGGGAGTACTCTAGCCCAGGCAACAGAGCAAGACTCTGTCTCAAAAAGAAAAAAGAAACTATATCCTTAAGATCTGTGCCTTTTTGCGAATGTTATATTTAGTAAAAGTTTATGGAAATGGAAAAACCTACAAAGGCTTCCTTTGCCTTAAAAATAAAACACCTTAAAGTGGCTTACAAGGACCTGTGTGCTCTGGACCCTGTCCACTTCCTTCAGCTTTATTTCTTGCCATTCTCTACTTTAAGATTTAATAATGTCACATCATCTCTTACCTCTAATCCTTGGCACATTTTATTCCCTCTGACTCAAACATTCCCCCTTCCCTATTTTACCTAACTCCCTAATCATACTTCCAACTTCAGTTTACACATCCCCTCTCTGGGAAAGCCTTCTCTGACACGCCAAGTCTGGACTGGGCACAACTCACTACGTATTCCAACTGCCAATTTAGTACTATGATTTGCCTCTCTGTACCCCTTCATCCAACTGTAAGCCATAAAGGAAGAGGTCACACATAGATGTCTTTTAGTAAATACTGCTGAATCAAGATTTGAATAGATGAAGAAATGTTTTGAACCATAGATTTCTTTACTAATCACTTACTTCTTTGCAGAGGTTTCTCAGATCAGCTCCAGAAAAAAAACAGGTTTCTTCTGCTAGGTTTTCTAAGGAGACATCAGTCCCTACTGGCATGGTTTTTGTGCAGACTTTCAAAATAGAAAGCCTTCCCTGGAACAAAATAATAAGTATTTATAATCTTATAACATTTATGTTTGACACAATGATATTTTTCTGCTATAGGAGAAACAAACAAACAAAAAAATCTTGCTTCTAAGGGGTTACAAAGACTTAAGTTACCAATGGCCTACATGGTAAAAATAACAACATCATGAAAAACTTTTAATACTTTTACAATTAATTTTAAAAAATAGCCAACTGTAAACATATCTTTTTAAGAGATAAGGTGAATCTCTCTTTTGGGTACATATAGTACTATTATTAGACAGGGCTTAAGAAGCAAATACATGAATTATCTGACACAACTTAAAAGTATAATAGACATTAAAATTTATTTTTCAGACCCTTTAAAACTGGATAAAAGCTCAAGGAAGGAAAAAAATTCATCCTGTGTCTTTCACCACTCCCTGTCAGTGCCCTTTGTTAAGGGCAAAGTGTTTACTGATTGACTGATTGACCGACTGTGGATACTTTGCATTATCTTTGTAATCTCAGATTTCTCTACTATAAAATAAGGATGCTGACCTAGATAATCTCCAAAACCCTTTTAGCCCCTTTTAACAGTTTAGGATTCCTCCATTCTAGTTGCAAGATAATGTTGAGTAAACTCAAGAAACTCAGTATTTTGAGTCCACCACAACACTAAAATAACTACCAAGGCCAGGCACAGTGGCTCACATCTGTAATCCTAGCAGTTGGGGAGGCTAAGGTGGGAGGATCAATTTGAGGCCAGGAGTTCGAGACCAGCCTGAGGAAGAGCGAAACAACATCTCTACAAAAAATAGAAAAATTAGCCAGGCGTGGTGGCTTATGCCTGTAGTCTCAACTACTTGGGAAGCTGAGGCAGGAGGATCACTTGAGCCCAGGAGTTTGAGGTTGCAGTGAGCTATGATTATGCCACTGTATTCTAGCCTGGGTGATAAAAAAAAAAAAAGGTAACTACCTTACTTTTAGGCTTGTTTCTCTGAAAACAGAGCCAGAGTGTTTAGCAAAAGCAGATCAAAACTATGATTTTATGAAGGACCATTAGGCAAGGACGAATGTATAACCCAGTATGAGTAGGACACCACGTATACCTATATTCAGTTTGGAGGTCAATTCTGCCGAGCTCCTTAGAGTACAGACACTGATGTATTGTTAAGAATGCTCACACACAGTAGACGTGTACAATGATTACCTTTTGGTCTGGAGGTGGAATATAGATAATCTTATCTAATCTTCCAGGTCGTAACAAGGCATCATCTAACACATCAGGTCTATTTGTTGCTGCAACAATCATGACACTTCGACTAAAAACTTCTTGAAACTCTGAGGGAAAACACCCAACAAAGTACTGTCAATAAATTGTTAATATTAATTTTTTTTAAGTTATAAATCAGAAAATCCATTAGTTTTTAAATAGGGGTATCCTTTTCTTAGGACCAGAATGCTTATACCCCCTTTCCAGACCATCTTCTTGATAACAAGGTAATCCGGATGCAAATCGTTAATCGAAGAGCTACTCTGTGCACGGTGAAGGGAGTGGCTAATCCTGAGAGACATTTCTTCATGTGAGAACCAATGAAAAGCCTTACCCCACAGCAGAGAATGCCTATCAGGTGACCTGGGAGCACATGAGCCCCCAGGAAATGATTACAACTTAAACGGACTATTTGAAAATACAGGTGCATATGTCTAACAGGCAGAGATGTATGGCTATGAAAAGTCTTGGCTAATATATCCCTAAAGAGGGAGATTTACTTTACTTTTTACTTATTTTTCTTCCCAGAGGCAGAAATAATGACAATTAATCTAAGTTGCAGGTATGAAAATCCTGCATAAAAAAATGTCTAAAAGCAGACAGGGCAAGGCCTTACACACACTAAGCACTTAAAATCATTTGTTGAATTGAATAATCAGAGCAACTCTCCAGTGACATAATCCCTCACGGTAGTGAGTTCTCTGTATTTGCCAAGTATTTTTGCAGAGGCTGGGTGAATACCTGCTAGATACTGTAGAAGTAATTTCTGCATTATGAGATGATTTAATTAAATAACTTCTGTGGGTCCCTTCTAATTCTAGGATGATATATTCCTAAGGAGCTGTAAGATTCTCCTTCCATGTGACAATTTAAAAAATGGAAAACAATTAAGAAGAGAGGCATAAAAGAAAAAAAATTGCCAAGGATACCAAACTGTATCTGGAGAAGAGACTTAGAATGAGACGAAGAGGACCTCCAAAGGTCGTTTTAGCTTCATTAAAACCAAGGAAACCCATTCCTCAAGAAAATTAAAAGTTTTCAACTATTAAAGTTATTGGAAATTATAATGTTTTATTTTACAAATGAAATTTTTAGAAAAGGATGAACAGTGGTTCTTCAGGACATAGAAATAAGAATGAACTCCCTTCTCCATTAGCAATAAGTAAAATTGTATTTCTCGTTCTTTTTTTCCCCCTTTCTTTTTTTTTGAGACAGGGTCTCATTCTGTTGCCTGGGTTAGAGTGCAGTGGCATCATCAAAGCTCACTGCAACCTCAAACTCCTGGGCTCAAGTGATCCTCCTGCCTCAGCCTCCCAAGTAGCTGGGACTACCAGCATGTGCCACCACACCCAGCTAATTTTCCTATCTTTTGTAGAGATGGGGTCTCACTATGTTGTTCAGGCTCATCTAGAACTCCTGACCTCAAGCAATCCTCCCGCCCCAGCCTCCCAAAGTGCTAGGATTACAGGCATGAGCCACCATGCCTGGCCATACTGAGGCAAAATACAATTCACATTCATATATATCTAAGATAATTTATTATAAAATTTAGCTCACCTTTCCTAGCCAAATCACAAATTTAACTAGCTTTGTAAAAATCCCAACAGAGTCAAACTGAAATTATACAAATCTTTCTGTGACACTAATTCAGGCATAGGAACAGCTACAGCACATATGCATTCTATTTAATGCTGGCCTGGATTTTTGGTGCATTCTGGCTAATAAATACCTCTTCATTTTTTTCAGCTCCTTGTATTTACCCTGCTGATTTGATTTACTTCCTCTTCTCTCTATTGTCTTAAGTCCAACACCATCTAATTCATTGAGGAGAACAGAAAGAACTCGCTCTTGAACATCACATCCCGTTTTGCAGATTGACCGAGCTCCCAAGATTGAATCAATTTCATCCAAAAACACAATTGCCGGAGTATTTGCTCTTGCTTGTCGAAATACCTTGTTAGGAAAAAAAATATTAAAAAGCTATATGTTATACATTGGTCATGTGAATGTATGTTCTCTGCATTACTATTTATAACTTAAAATATAAGATTCTAAACGTCTAAGAATTAGGGAATAATAAATAAAACAAGGAGCAATCGTATTACGTAGGAGTTACAAAAATCATTATTTTCAAAGAATATTTATTATGGAATTTCAAAAGTGATAATGTTAAGTTTTAAAAGTAGGATAAAGCTATAGATATATAAAAACAGCCTTCGATTTTGTTTTTTAAAAAAAGAAAGGAAATCCAATCAAATGTTAACAGTAGGTAGAAGGATTATAGAAGATTCCTTACTTATACATAAACATGTATAACTTTTATAATCAGAAGAAAAGCTGTAATATTTTTAAAAATAAGGTTTATCCATAAAGCATGACGTAAAAATTCAAAAGTAAACTTACACACATGGAGAAATAAACAAACAAACCTGAGATAAGACTTTTTCTGAATCTCCAACAAAAGGCGAAAAGAGATCAGCTCCACTCACTGAAACAAAAGAGCAATGACAGCTTGTGGCCAGGGCCCTCACCAGGGTGGTTTTAGCACATCCGGGCGGCCCATAGAGGAGAATTCCCTTTGGTTGTGTCAGACCCATCCTAGCAAATTCCCAGGGATATTTCAGAGGCCACTCAATGCTCTGTAAGTATACAAAAAGAAGAGTCATTTAGTATAACAATAAAATGTTAAATAATTCAGTAAATTCATTTGTTCATTCAAAAAAAAGCTCAGGCACTTGTTATGAGCTGGAAACTCAGCCCATTCTCCACACAACAGCCAGAGATCTTATAACCTAAGTCAGCTTACATCAATTCCTGCTTAAAATCCTTCCATGATTTCCCATTAGAACTAGAATAAGATCCAAATCCAAACTCCTTACTCACCGTAGCTTACACAGCCTTATATAATCTGACTATTTCCCAAACATCTAGTTTGTTTCCATCTCAGGGCCTTTCCTTGCTGTTCTCTCTCTGCCTGAACATCCCCCCAAAATTTCTGTGTGGTTATTCGTCATTCAGGTCTCAGCTCAAATGTCATTTCCCTGGAGAGAACTTAGTTAAAGTAGAAACTCCTTGTCCCAGTCACTATGTTACTGCCCATATTCTGCAACACTTATTAATTCACTACTCTTATTTTTCCATGTTGGGTTTGTCATTCTGCTCTGCTATAATGTAACCGAAATTCTAAATTCTCTAAATCCCCAACTAAAATGACACCTGCCCAAAGCAGGCACTCAGTAAATGTTAAATGAATAGTGAATGAGTCCTCATTACCTCTTAAGGTAAATGGTTTTATCATCATGATTTTACAGATGCAGAAACTTGGGCTTATAAAGTTAAATAACTTGACCAGGCCTTATCACTAGTGACACGGCAGAACCAAGAATGACCCCAGGCAATGTAACTCAAGAGTACCAGCTCTTAACTACTGATATATTCTCTATGAAAAAGGGATAAGACAAGACCCATCTCTATACCTAAGCTACCCGCATTCTAGTTATAGAGAACAGGTTGTAAACTAACAACCAGGCCTGAAAAGGGTATTACAAGGAGAAGGAATATATACAGAGAGCATGAAACTGTTTGACTTAGGGTATGGGAGGGGCTGTCTGCATTCACTGAGGTAGGGAATCCAGCTGGGGGTAGGGGGTGGGGTGGAATAGACTAGCTGAGTTTGAGATCAATGGGGTTATCCAGTAGGCAGGCAGCTAAGTAGTTCTTATGATTAGAAGAAATGTCTACTCTCTATATATAGATTTTTGAGTCAACAGTTTTCAGGGGACAGGTGAAGCCCTTGACATCAAGAAGATCTTGAACACAAAGATTAACGACACAGTCCTGCAAAAAGAGCACTTCCAGAAGCTTCTTGGAGCACTAACATTTAAGGGAGCGGAGAAGAGTGCTCACAAAGGAAGGAGAGCTTAACATCTCAAAGCTAAGGAAACTGAGTGTTTCCAACAGGAATAGGTAGCTAATTTCTCTCATGCATCTTGTGAAGATTAAATGAGACGATGCATAAAAATATTAGTGTATATTATAAGTGCTCTTATCCATGGACTCAAGGACTCTAGGGTTCACTGGAGACATAGCTCCTAGTTAAGATGAATAAATTGTAATTGGTACTTATGAAACCTAATTCCTCAGGGCAAGATCACACAGGTAGGTGAACTGGCAAAATCAATTTGTGAACCTGCAATGTAGGTGAGAGGATGTGGAGAGTGCACCCCCCAACTTCCATGGTAAAAACCAGTACTAAGGAACCACACAGGCCACAATGACTGTTCACCGCAACTTTGTGCTTTTACCAGTCCCTGTATTGTGTCCATTTACTGTCTTCTAGATCAGAGGTCCAGGGCAAACCAAGGCCTGCCACCTATATTTGTACAGCCCACAAAATAAGGATGGTTTTCACATTTTTAAATGCTTGGAAAAAAGGTCGAAAGAATAGTATTTTCTGACATGTGAAAATGATATGATTTCAGTGCTCCAAATAAAATTTTATCAGAATACAATTACTCATTTACGTATTGTCTGCAGCTGCTTTTGCGCTATAATGACAGAGCTGAATGGCTGCAACAGAGGCTGCATGGCCCAGAAAGCTTCAAACATTTACTATTTGGCTCCCTACAGAAAATCTGTTGACCTCCGTCCTAAATTATAAAATCTTTAAAACAAAGAAAAAAGAAGGTTGAGGTGGGAAAGTATGAAAAAGTTTTGATATCTATAGAAGTCCAATTAAATGAGGACTGAAAAGTGATCATTGGATTTAGACGTTAGAATTGCTAATGATAGCAGCAAGAGCAGCTCAGCGTGGTATGTTTTCATCATAAATACACAGACTATTAATCTGTAATATTCTACTAGCTTAAGCGGATTATCTGTTTTACCTGTTTTAACTTCAGTTTTACATCTTCAAGGCCACCAATCTGCTCCCAGCCAACAGGCTTGATGTCCATCAGTCCGATGACGCTTCGAAATGATGAGGGTTGAATCTTTTTAAAAGATTCAAGGAAGTCTGTTTCATCAATCATAGGATTGTCCTCATTCTGAAGAAATACACCCAAAAAAGGAAAATCAAACAAAAAGTCAGGTGGGCCTTCTTTGTGGCACATAAGCAAAATTACTTTTTTAAAAATAAAATCCTCTTTTGTTTTTCTAAGAAGGTACCTCATTCAACAAAATCCTCTTTTGAATTTGTAAATCTATTTTATCATTATAAAAGAAATTTATACACATAGTACAAAAAAATGAAACGTCTCCCAGCCAATTCCTACCAGTATTCATCCCCAGTGGATATCGACAGTTTCTTATATATTCTTCCAATATGTTTTATGGCAATAAACACATGTGTATTTTTTTAAACAGATTTACAAATGGGACCATACTATACATATCAATCTGTACTTTTTTTCAGTTACCTTAGAAATCTTTTCATGTCAACTAATATAGTTCTATGTCACTCTTTTTGATAACTGCATTGAATAAATGTACCATAACTACATCTTTCTGACAAACATTAGGTCATTCCCAGTCTTTTGTCATTAAAAACAATGCTGCAACTGAAAGTCCTTGTGCTCATGTTCAGGTATTTTATACAATAATTTCTTCAAAGTAGAATTATTGGGTTTAAGAACATGCACATGTACAATTTTGACAACTATTACCAAACTGTCCTCAAAGGAAGCTGCATCAACTTACTCTCATCCAATAATATGAAACTGCTGTTCTTCCCATACCTCTTCAATATTGGATATTACCAAAGTCTTAAATTTCTGACAACGTGACAGGAAGAAACGGTACTCACTATTGTGTTAATTTCTTCAATACACAGTAAGGTAGAGAGAATGATGGAATTAGAAAATCACTTTTGCAACCATCACAGTAAAGGCTGTTTTGGGCAAGAACGGGATGCTACATAGAGATAAGTGAAGTTTGATGAGGACCAGGATATCTCAAAATATCTGCCCATAGATTTGTTATTAGTGGCAAAGGGAAAAACAGTAGCTACATAATGGAGAAACTGGACACTGCCTTGACTAGTTGATCAAAATTAGCATCACCAATGGCGAGCTAATGGACATCTTACGCCTCCACAGGTTACCAGTCTTAAGGATACAATGTTGCTTATGTAGTATTCCCAGTGGGGATCATAACCTGAGCCTGACTTGCATTCAGTTATGGCAATGTCAAATGTCTCAGACAAGAAAAGTGTTCAAGATTTAAAAAGACTAAAAACTAAATGCAATCATTATCCTGGATTAGATCCTGTACTAGAGAAAAAAATTGCTAAAAAGATTGGGACAATTACCAAAATGAAAATATGAACTGTAGACTTTAGAACATTTTGTATTAATGTTAAATTTCCTACATACAATGACTAAATATGACTATACTATGGTTACATATGGGAACATCCTTGTTCTTAGTAAACAGACATCAAAATGTTAAGAGATAAAGGGTCATGATATATGCAACCCATTCTTAAATGGTCCCCATAAATAATATGTACATATGTACACAGGGGGTAGGGGTGGTGGAGAGGGAGAAAAGGACAGAAAGGGGCAGAGGGAGAGAAAATGATAAAATTAATTTGGCAAAATGTTAAAAGTTAGTGATTTTGGATAAGGGGTTTAGTGAAAGTTCTCTGTAACTATCTTGCAATTTCTCTGTAAGTTTAAAATTATTTCAAAATAAAAAAAAGAAAATTCACAAAAGAAAAAAATAAAGAGCCAATATATACTTTTTAAAATTTATACTTTACTACCACTCAAATAAATGCAATTTAAAACAATTAGAAAAAATTTTTCAAAATACAAAGTTTAAAAAAACCTCAAAAGATAATAATTTTAAAAGAAATTAAGGTTAAAGATTTTTCATGTTTATTGGTATTCCTTTCATTGTCAACTACCTGTTCCTATCTTATTACCTATTTTCTCTTGGATTGTTGGCCTTAATGATTTGTAAAAGTTTTTTCTATCTCAAGGAAACTGGGCTAAAAGTATTTTTCCTAGTCTTGACTTTACTTACAGTATTGTTTTGCCATCCCCAAATTGTCGAATTAGCAAATAATTTCCTTTTTGGCTATTTGGTTTTCTGTTATGCCTAGAAAGGTCATCTTCATTCCAAGGTGACATTTTGGAGACTACTTGCAATTTCCTTGATTATTCTAGTGAAGCAAACTTTTTGTTAGTTAAAAAGTCCTTACATTTCTATTTGTAATACCTGTACTATATTTATTAAAGTATTTTCCCTCTTATAAAATTCTGAACATTTAGTTGTCCACAAATTCCCATTTCCAATAATAAACTATTTCATCCCAATTATGTAAAATTGTGTAAGTGGATATATATGCACAGAGCTATTCTGAACACCATGCCCCCAAATGTTAACAATTGTAATCTCTGGGAGGCGAGGTTTCAGGGAATTCTTACTTTCTTTATAATTTTCTATCTTGTTTAATTTCTCACAAAGAACACTATTATGTAATTTTTAAAAATAGCATTTTTAGATAACGCCAACTAATATTCGAAAATCCCATTTATAGTTCAAGATCACTTGTGTGTACATTATTTCACTTGATTCTCATGACCCTTCAGACATATAAATTCTTTTCCCTCCACATGTGTTATACGTGTGTTAAACATTTCTAATTCTTTAATAGGAATATGTTACAAAAAGTTTAACAAACTTTAATGTTTTCTGTCTGCCCTGGCACAGATGGAGGCAGCAGCAGCCCCTCAGCTGCCTGGTGGGGGAAAGTAAAAAAAGATGGAGTCAATACCTTCCCAGATGTCTCTGTCCCTTCTTCCTTCCACTTCCCCTGGGTTGTTTCTGAACTCAGCCATCACCTGTGGTAACTACACCTGGGCAGGCCCCTCCTGAAGTAGCAGTGGGCTCCACCCTAGGATGACAGCAGCTGACTGGTCCACCTAAGCCAGACCTGGAACTTCAAAGCAGAGGAAATCCTAAATGTAAATCTCCCCTCCCACTCCTGGCACTCTCATCCTCTCCCTTAAGACATATATTCTCACGCCTTTACACATGGGACTTAAAAAATTTCAAGCAGTTTTGGTTCTAAACACACAATATGAGGACTCAGATCACATAACTCCTCCCACCTTCAGTGTAAGAGTAACAATAAAGGAAAAGGAAGTGAGGAGGGTATGAATTATTTAAGTACAACGGTTTTTTAAAATTTAGGATGATAAATCACCCTTCTGTAGTTTAAGATCAAACAATTTTGATGTCACAACCAGATTGAAAATTTTGTCCCAGAATCCTCAAACTGCTGAAATTAATTTTTTTCTGAAAGGGTTTAGAGATTCAGGATTATTTATTATATATACAAAATGACTGGATTCCCCAATCAATGGTGCTGAAAAGTATTATATTTAAGCTAATATCTTAAATATTGTTAAGAAAGGTAGTCATGAATTACAGACCTTAATATCAAAGACAAATTTAAATAAAATTCCAGGTGCCCAATCTTCTTCTTGGTTATAAAAATTTCTCCCACAAGATGCTTATTATTAATAACAAAGGAAAAAATTATATCTTGACGATGGAGTAATCTTAGACACCACCTATCCAAGCCATGAAAGTTAACTTTCATGGTAAAGGGGCATCGTAGCTACAGTATATTCTCCAATGTTTCATAAAATATTTATATGTATATAAATACATACACATGAATACAGAATGATAAAGCACATAAGGCAAAATGTTACATTTGGAGAATCTGGATAAAGGGTATACAAAAATTCTTTGTACTATTTTTGCAGTTTCTACGTCTGAAGTTGCTTCAAAAATTTAAAAAATTCAAAGTTAAAAAAAAGTGTTTGATTCTTCTGGGGCCACAGTGTCTTTCTTGGCTGCTCTGGGCTTCAGCACTAGGGAGTTACTATGAGAGTGGGGGAAAATTCACTCAGTAGATCTAGAGGACACAGCTCTTTATCCCCACCTTCAACCATATATTTTATTGAGATGTAAAATGTTAACAGCTGTGGAAGCTATCAAATGTTTTAAGAAAATGTACTTACCACTTTTTTTACCCCCAAAATTAATGTTACATTAATGAAAAGATTAACATAAATGTTCATATTTACCCTCTCACTATGAAGGAGTGCGTGCATGGCAGCCTCCCTACAGAGTGCCGTCAGGTCAGCGCCAACATAGCCAACTGTCATTTCCGCAAGAAGGCCCAAATCAACACCACTGGAGATGGGCATCTTTGACGTAATCACCTGCAGAATTGCCTTTCTTTGTTTAAGTGTGGGAGTTCCAATGACAACCTGTATGTAAAGCCAAGAAAAATGTATAGTTTAAAAATAAAATTTCTATGTCACTTAACAAGTTTTTGTTATTTTTAAGAAGCTACTAAGTTCTCAGAGCCAGGGATAGAATCACAAACCATAGAGTCTAGGTCCCTGCCCTTAGGGAGCTTATTCAGGAGACTAGATGGTGCAAGGAAGAAATCCACTCAAGTCCTGAACAAATTAAACTAAAAGTGCGCAATTATCATCTCTCTTTAGAATCCTATCACAAAATCCAAACATCACTTAGTCACTAAATTTCAAACTATTCTTTAGAAATTAAGAGTCGATTCTGGACCAAAACTTATAAAACAGGACAGCTTTGAATATTCATTCAACCTTTCTAGCAACTCAGGGAGCAATTGTGGATACTTTCTCAATTGTGGATAGGATCGTGGTGTCTTGAGAAGGAATGAGTAAATCCAGAAGTTAATGCCTGCTTTGATTTAGTTCTTTCCTGCTTTCTGTCTTTTTATTTCAACGCACTTCTTGAGGCTACCCTTTTACTTTAAATTTTCATTCCAAATCTTATGTGAGTTTAATATGCTCTTAGCAGAACTAGTTCTCCTAAGAATTAACATTACTGATTACAGTACACATCTTCAGGACTTGCACAACAAAACTAATCTTTAATGGCCGTCCTGCTTCCCAGAACAATTTGACTCTGACCAAAAAAATAAAATAAAAAACAGGTCCTGGCTCACAGATCATACAAGGGCAGAGAATGTGTTCTCTGCATTACAAAGAGCCCCACTGCAGCCTCATCGACTCCCAAACCCAAGAGGTAAACGACCCGGAGCAGCCAACCAGGGCCAGAGAGGCCGCGGTTCCAGGGACAAGGGGCTAACCCGCCAGGACTATTCACCTCTCGGTCAAATCTTCCGGGTCTGCGTAGCGCTGGGTCTAGCGCGTCCGGCCGGTTGGTGGCTCCCACAACCACTACCTCGCGGTCCCCACTGATGCCGTCCAGCAGCGTCAACACCTGAGCCACCACGCGGCTCTCGGGGGCTCGGTGTGGACCGCCCCGCCGGGGACACAAGGCGTCCACCTCGTCCAGGAAGAGGAGGCTGGGCCCGCGGCTGGCCAGCTCCTGGGCACGCTGGAAGACACGCCGCACGTTCTCCTCGGTCTCCCCAGGCCGAGTGCCCTGCAGCGCGGAAGCACTTACTGCCAGCAGCTTCGCGCCCGCCTCCCGGGCCACGGCCCGCACCAGCTGGGTCTTGCCTACGCCGGGGGGGCCCGCCAGGAGCACTCCGCGGGGCACCGCTAGCCCTAGCGTGGCCAGGGCGCGGGGGTAGCGGAGTGGCAGACAGAGGAGCTCCCGCAGCGAATCGGCCGCCTCCGAAAGACCACCCAGGGGCACCTCGGGCAGCGGCGGCGTTTCAGACGGAGGCTCCTCGCTGAGGCCGATGCGGGTGCAAGGGGTGACCAGCCCGGCGGGATCGGGATTGGGCGTCCCGCCGACGATGTGCAGGGCGGCCACCGGGCCGGGGGCGCCGGGCGGAGCGGCCACCACGTGGCCCAGGGAGATCGGCCGGTTCCTCAGTAGCTCCTGCACCGCATCCAGCACCACAGCTGGATTCGGGGCACCAGGCGCGCCTGCCCGCTCTTGCAACACTGGCCACACGGTGAGGCGCCGCAGGGGCGGACAGGGCACCAGCAGGAAGCTGCTCAGGCTGAGACTCTCCGGGGCCCCCACTGCCGCCCCGGGGCTCGCGCACTGCGGGTCCAGCTGCACAAAGCCGTCCGCTCCGTCCCGCCGAGGCCAGGCAGTGCAGAGGCAGGAGCCACCGTCGGGCAGCGAGATCTTCACCGCCGAGCCCAAGTGCGCGCCCAAGGTGCGGAGGGCGGCCGGACCCAAGCGGCAGCGCTGGGTGCCCCGGTCTCTAGCGTCTAAGGGTAGCAACTTTAAGAACGGCCCTTCAGGGGAAGGACCCGAGTCCGGACCCATTGCACACAGAAAACCTGCCAGAAGAAAGTGGGGCAGGAAACCCACCCGGCCTGGAAAGACCGGAACACCGCGCTCCCGGGCCGGAAGCAGGTGGTGCGCAGACTCTTGGTTGCTAGCGACTGAGTGAAGGCCGAAAGGACCAATCGGAAAATTAGACGGTGTTCCGGTCCTCCGGGCAGTGCTGGTGTCTGTTTCGGTGAAATCGAGTCAGCCGCCTCAGAGCTTTCTGGAGATGGTCTTCATTACAAGTGTCTGGGAGCCAGCGTAAGCTAACTTCGCTAGGTCATTAAGCATGTACCTTGGTGTTTACATACACTTTGGAAGTCACGGGCCCTGATTGCACACTGTTTTCTTGGCCTTCGCACTGGAGCATCGCCACTGCCGCTGTTGGAATATCAGCCTAGAGACTTTGCTATTTTGTGTAGAAACTACGACTATCCCATAGGCACAGTATTTTGGGCGCTCTGGTGCAGATGTTTTAGGTGACTTGGAGTAGCTGATAGTACAGCCTTGGCACCTTTGATAACCGGGGTTCCAACCTGTTTGAGGTCTTTCCTATGGAAAGGCACATTGTGTCATTTAAAATCCCTTGGAGAGGGAAAAAAAGGAACACTTGGCTATCTGATGTATTTGTAGCTCACCGATGGTACATTTGTTCTGATTCTTGACTTTTTAAATTATTCTTTGGCAACAACTTAATCACTACTATTTCTGTTCATACGATAAGTGTTTACTGTCTATTTGGGGCAGAGTGGTACTAAGTCCTGTATTAGAGGTGACACCTGTTTATGTAACTGATTCAGTTGTCTGCTATTATTTTTCCACCTGCTTTCCACCTTTCCCTTCCCCACAGGGAATTCCTCTTTCCTTTTTATCAGCTAGAATATATTTCCTAGCCCTATTAGCTCTCATTAAAAAGAACTACAGATAGTCACAGGCAAGAAAATATGCCTTCTTTTTATTCTACTCACATCTTCCTACATCTGTTTTTCCCATCTTCATGGCAACCCAAATATGTGGGATAACAAAATTGATATTTCAGATAAGGTGCTTAAGTCGCCAGGAGATATTTTTTCTATCTATACAAATAATCAATTACAGACCGTATAGCAATGTCCTCTCAATGGAAAGTACTGTCGCATCTGGGATCTTAAGACCAACGCCAATTCTTGGTCTCATTCTATCCAAACTTCATGGCAGACATTATGACAGACTTGACTCCACAGTAACTTATCTAGCCTCTGCTGTACTTTTCCAGCTCCAGTGCTGGAACAGTTTAGGAATCAGGAAATAGCAGGAGGAGGTCCTGAAATGGGTAAGTCACCCACTACTTCCTATTTTCTTCTTTCTCTTAATCTCATTGGCTTCTGTTCTCTTTGGTCTTCACACTTTTGAATAAATTTTGCATTTTCTGACATACAAAAGCCATTATGTTTACTGCCCCCTGAAGGTGTGAGTAAAATGCCTATCAAGTTATTCTGTCGTGATGCCTGTACCTCATGAAGTTCCTTTTATTCCAGTTCCAAGAAGCTAAGAAAAGGAAAGAAAACTTAATGAGGACATAACTGTTTTAAATATTTAAAGGGCTGTCATATAAAAGAGTTAGTAGATTTATGTGTGCCGGTGTGCACTGTAGTGCAAAACCGGCCAAGAAGTGAAGGTTTAATGTAGTGAATTTAAGAGTCTTCCTCCTCATATTTTGAGTATGGTCATGTGGAAGATACGGCCAAGGGGCATAACCAAAGCCAACAGGAGGCAGATAAAGTTAAATTAATCTTAAATTTTTCTGCATTGATTTAAAACAGAGGTAGAGGCTATGTTAGGAATATGATGTGAAAGAAACAACATGTTGCTTTGGGTTGAGGTTGATTTTTATACAAGGTCAAACTAGAATCCTCTGACCTTGTAGGATCCATATACCAGGAAATATTCACTTCACCCTCCCTCTAAAAGGTTTAGTCCTCACCTTAGGTCACAAACAAAAGCAATGAGGAATTCTGTTACTGGGCCTTCAGCTCTTATCCACTTACTTTGAGCGAAACTGTGTCTTTTCCAGTTAGCCAGTAAAATCCATTCCTATACTGTCAGATTATTTGCAACACTATTATTTCAGCCATCAAACATCCACATTTATCATACCATTCAATGACATAAACTTGTAGAAAACCATTCTAATGGGAGTTGTGTGGTTCTTTTGCTGATTTGCTTTCAAACTGACCTAAAATGGTAATTCTATGAATTGAAGAGCACCAATTAAAGCACCAAAAGGTTGAACCACTAGAGGGAGTCCAGAACCAATTAAGCCTGAAGATTACAGGATTATTATGCTATAGAACTGTCTTTACTGGGGCTTCCACTAGATTTTCCAAGGATTCACACCTGGGTGTTGAAACCATCTGTTATCTCTATGTGTTAAGTGTCTTAGTTGTTTGAGCTGCTGTAACAAAATACCATAAACTGGGTAGCTTACAAACAACAGAAATTTATTTCTTACAGTTCTGAAGGCTGGAAAATAAAAGATCAAGGCAGATTGAGTGTCTGCTGAAGGCCCTCTTTCTAGTTCATAGCTCGCTGTGTCCTCCCATGGTGAAGAGTGTTAACTAACTCTCTCAGGTTTATTTTATAAAGGTGCTAATCCCATTCACGAGGGCTTTCCCTCATCACCTAATCACCACTCAAAGGGCCTACCTCCTAATACCTGAGGGTTGAAATTTGAACAAGTGAATTTTGAGGGGGACACAAACATTCAGACCATAAGAATAACTTTATTTTCACATAATTTTTAAATGCCTCAGGCCATGTAGAACTCAGTTTCTAAGTTAAAATTTAATTTCTGTGTTAAATATAAAAATGAGGCCCTCCCTAATTCCAAAATTTAATGGTAGATCAAAATCCAAACATATGGAATTCATCTTGCTGTAGCCTAGAAACATTTCTATCTTTGATTTATTTCAAATAGCTTTGCCAAACAAAATCCTTTGTGAGATTTTCCTAAAAAGAGACATGTAACAAATAGATTCACTTTATTTCATTTGCTATTATACATTCAAGGTTAGGTACAATCTGTCTAATATTCAATACAATATATCTAGAATTCAAAAGAAATAATTGGAAACTGTTTCTTTTTTAGGGTAATGATTATACATGATTTTTGTGCCTTCAGCATCAATAATATTATATATTAAATATATTTCAGTACATGAAACCTACCATAATTATGAAAAATCTAAAGAAAATAGTTAAGCCAATAGCATGAGTCATCTGTAAATCAATGAATGCTAATCCTTTCCTGTGTTTCCATTTTCATGTTATATAGAACCCTAACATATTTGAACATTAGCAATGCTTATGAGTTGTAATAGATGAACGTAGAGATTCCTTTAGCCACACTGGAAAAAGCATGATTTGCAAATGCTTTCATCTCAGCATGCTCATGCAGATATCTTAAGTGACCTAATATGCCAAACAGATGTTCTTATCTTAAATTACAGGACATTATTAAAATTTTCCATCTTTATTCTTTATCATGTATCCAGGCTATAATTATTCTTTAGAGTAATTCTAGCTACAGAGTCAGATGTAGAGTAAGATATAGAGTCAGAGGAAGGTGGGTGAAAGTATTTGCTGTATTACAAATGACCATCAGGCTACAGTTCATAGAACATCATTCTGAAAGTGTGTTCTTGGAGATTTTCAGGAAATTTCTTATTTCAAAGATTTTTAGAAGTTAATTTTAAGATAATTTTTTCCTATGATATTGGTTCACACTGTTCAACTAATAAAATATGTTTATTGAACAAATATTTATTGAACATCCACCTCATGCTAGTTACTGTAGCAGAGGCTGAGTACATCATGGTAAAAAAACCCACCACCACCACCACCACCAAAAACACTGTAATGCTTACCTTCATAAAGTTTGTAGTCTAGTGGGGAAGTCAAACATTAAAGGAGTAAACAAGTGAATAAACCAGATAATTAAAGGTGATGAAAATTGCTATGAAAGAAATAAACAGAAAAGGGCTACTTTAAACAGGTATTAAGAATGGGGAAAAAAAAGTTTTTTCTATTCTCATACACCACTCAGTGACTCAACACAATACTTCTGACACCATATGTGTTGGGATTTTCCCCACAAAACAAGCAATTCTCTGGCAGACACTAGCTGAGCATCCTCTAATTCAATTCAATTCTGATAATGTCTACCTGAAGATAGCATCAGATTTCACCGGTTAAGTGTTCAATCCCTCAAGGCTGCCCACCACTCCAGATGCCAATCACAAGTCCCAGGTTGTAACCTGTGCTTCTGACTGGTGATGGGCTGTAAATCAGACATCCTATGGCCCCCTTCCCAGGTTCTACTAATTTGCTGGGATATGGCTCACAGAACTCAGGGAAACACTTTACTTACATTTGCCAGCTTATTAATAAATGATATAGTAAACGATACAGATGAACACCCAGATGAAGAGATACAAAGGAGGAGGTCTGAAGGGTCCCTAGTGCAGAAGCTTCTGTCCCCGTGAAGTTGGAGTGTACTACCCTATGTCATTCAGATATGTGTTTGCCAATTCAGAAGCACTCCGAACCCTGTAGTTAAGGGATGTTTATGGAGCCTTTATCACATAGGCATGATTGATTATTAACTCCATTTCCAGCCCCCTCCCCTCTCTGGAGACTGGAGGTTGGGGCTGAAAGCTCCAAGCTTATAATCATGGTTGCTCTTGCTGGGGACCAGCCTCTATCCAGGACCCTGGAAAGAGTTGCCTCAGTAGAACAAAAGACTGCTCCTTTCACCAAGGTTCTGTGTCAGAAACCAGAGCAGAACCATTAGAACAAAAGATTCTCCTAGAACCTCTGTCACACAGAAAATTACAAGGTTTTTAGGAGCTCTGTGCCAGGGACTGGGGCTAGAGACCAATATCTATATTTCTTATTATTTCACAACAGGAAAGCAGGGCAGGCCTTTCTGAGGAAGTGACATTTCGGCTGAGACCTGAAGGATGAGTAGGAGCCAGGCAGAATTGGAGAAGGAGAAGGGGAAGGAAAAAGCCTGTGCCAATGCCCTG